TTACTTACTAGGTTAGTAGCACTAGCTAGTATCCCTAGTGGAAGTGGCTGGAAGTCTATTTTAACTGATTAGTATTTATGCTCTAGTTATTTTTTTAAGATTTATTTATTTATGCGTACAAGAACTGGGGTACAGGCCAGAGGTGTGACTCCAGAGGAGTCACCAGAGACAGAGTGGGGAACAGAATAGGCAGACTGACTGAAAACACACTTGAAGGGAGCAGTGGACAAGACAGGAGAGGTCTGCTGAGCCATGTTTGTAGCTCCCTGGCTGGCTGGGGGATGGAATTCATGCTGCAGAGGGTGCGGATAGCTTCATAGTGCTGTGCTTAAGCCCTTGTGCCACCAGGGAGGTCTCCTTATGCTCTATTTATTGTATATTTTAAATAACTATTATTCATTTAAATTATAAATGGTCATTAAATATTAAATATTTTAACAAGTCCCCTGCTTATGTTAACCCATATATAGTTGGTCTTGGTTAAGTAGAATCATTTTAAGAGGAATTTGAAAATGTGATCATTGATTGGTGGTGTTTGCCACAGGGTGGGAGGAGGGAGTACTGATTTCATGCCTCAGTATATTACGGTTTTCATGATAATGTCCATAGAAAGCTTTTGGGAAAAATTAAAAATGAAGTACTAATGAAATTCTAACAATCTCTGAATTCTGAACTCTCCATAAATATTACTATATCCATGCTTTTATAAAGGAAAAACAGTAAACATTGGAGATCATTTTGATTTTATAAGATATTTTTAAAGAGATAAGCCCTTTAATTTAAAGAGGATTCAAAAACTAGATTACATGAGAGAGTAAATTTCTAAAGCAAAACTTGTATTTAGGTGAATAGTATTTCTGATAATACTGTATTTTGTCAGTATGAGAACTGCTTCGGTTTACCATTTATGAGTTTGAGTAGAAAATTGCTGTTTTAGTCAAAACAGGCTTTTCAAATAGTGTGTACATTCAGAATTTGTCTTAGAGAACTAGGAGGATTCAAAGTGATTAAATGGCTAAAAATGTGAATTCTAAAAAAATTCAAAGGCTATATCATTTCATAAGTTTGAATAATTTTGGTAACTCAGGATAGAGGAAAAGCAGGCACTGGATCACTCCTCCCATGGCACCCCAGACACCTCGAGGATGACCCCCACAGACACTTCTCTCATATACTTACTTTCCACGATTGTTCTCTTTATGTATGAAAAATTATCAGGAAATGATAATTCTGCTCATTTCTTTTAGTTATTCCCTGCCATTGCTTTTGCTGGAGGTAGTTTACCCGTTTTTAAACAGAACAATAGTACCATTGACTTAATAAAATGTTACATTTAATGGTTTGATCGTTATTTTTCGGGTTATGGTTGCTCTAATCACATATTTTCCCATAGATAGAAAATAAATGTATATTAATGTTTATTTTTTATTATTAAAGTGTGCCTATCTTCCTCTCAACTGTTGCTATATGGCCACTACTTTATGTTGTCATCCTAATATTTTTTTTAACAATATAAAATACATTTTTTCTGTTTCAATTACTATAGTTTTAATCCTTTGTTCTTAGTTCAAAATTATTGAATTTGAATAAAATTTAATGGTAGTTTTTTTTAAAAGATTTATTTATTTATTTTATACAAGAACCAGGGTACAGGCCAGATGTGTGGGAGGGTGAGAGGATTCACCAGAGACAAGAGCGGGGAACAGAACAGGCAGACTGATGAAATAGACTGCAGAGGGGAGCAGCGGGCGAGACAGGACAGGTCTGCTGTGCCATTTGGGACCCTCGCCGGCTGGCCGGGATCGAACCCGTGCTGCAGAGGCTGCTGACAGCCTCACAGCATGGCGCTCAACTGCCTGAGCCATCAGGGGAGGCCCAGGTTTTTTTTTTTTTTTAAATAGGACTAAGTTTGACTTCACTCTGTATTTCTCAGTTATTCTCTTATGCCTCAGGAAAATTCTCAATGGAAAAATTGTGATGCACATGGAGTGAATATTCAAAAGTACCTAGATTCCTGCTCATTTGACATTTCCCATTGGGAATGTCAGATGTGTCTTAATCCTTGGCATTTAGACTTAATTTAAACATTATACTTTAGTTGGTTGAGTGGACGATTTTCTAGTATGACAGAATGAGCACAATAAGAAAAGGGTCATTGTAGAAACAAGAATGTGTGGAAAGAAATGGCTTGACATTTTATCATATCATTGTATATTGATTTGTGTCTCAGAAAAAATTCAATGTGCTTTCTTGCAGCTGTGATTTTCAGTTTGCCTGCAGGTAAATAGGACTTTCAGAATGGACCTGGTTCATAGGCATTCTTTGAAGACAGTAGATACATTTTTATTATCACCTGTCAAACCACCAGAACATTGAAACTTCCTTAATTATTGATTTTTTTGTACATAGGCTGCACATGCATAAGCCAAAATAAATTGATATAATGATGCCTGTGTTATAGAATATTTTTCTGAAAAAAATCTTACATGTCACAATGCTTAATCTATTGACATGTGGGTTTTATAGAAGATGGGCTGAAAAGCTTGTTATCTGAAATTGCCATTGTTGACGCAAGCTATTGTTATTTTTCAATAATGTGAATTCTTTTTACAGAATTGATATTTCTATAACTGTCATAACTTTCTGGTACACACACAAAGAAAAAGTCACTATCTGGCCTATGCCCTCTCAAATCAGTAAGGTATTTTCTTTCAACCTTACTAAATATAAAAAAAAAATTAATATTTCCAATTGATTATTAGTCCTGTTTTAATATGCTGTCAGTGAATCACAAATGATTAGTAGGTAGTTTACAAATTTTAATAAAAATGTGAATTATTTCATTTTTGCAATGTGATCATTAGTATAAGATTGTTTATTTAATCAGAGTTTTAAAAGAAAGATTAATAGTTACTTATATTCTAATGGTATCAGCAAACTCAAAGATTGTATTAATGAGACACTGGTAATCACATTTTACTAGGAACAAAGTTAAAATAAAAAAAAAAAATCACCTGATAGAGGGTTATAAACAATTAGGTTTGCTTGGAAAAACCAATTAAAAACACAGCTTATGTTTATACAGATACTGTATAAATTGCAGTCATTTTGACTCAAGACCAATAAACTAAAATATATGTGTGTATATGTGTGTATATATACACACATGCCATACACACATGATACCAGATACCGAATGACATGGCCTTTCTCTATACCAGCAGACAAATATATGTGTAAAAAGGCAGGACCAATAAAGCACTAAGGATTTAAAAACAGAAACATTACTCTGGGATTCAAAGACTAGAAGGCCATATATAATTGGGAAAAGGGAAATGCAGTTCATCAGGTAGGTAATTTGATAAGGGCTTTAATGTATTAGCAAGTGTTTTACAGATGCAGATGAATGTAATATCTGAGGAAATATTTTATCCCAGCAATTTTTCTGATAACAAATTCACTGACCTCTTGCTGGTATTCACATATTCTTCTAAAAACAAAATTCTTTATTCAACTGAGTCTTTAATGGAATGCCTTAGTATAAAACTCTTTTAAGTATATTGAGAAGGATAGGAAGCTACAGTGTGGGATTCTCCATCTCCATTCCTTGAGTATTTTCCATGATTTCTCTTGCATTTTGTCTTATAATAAAAATTTATCAATAGGAAACATACCAACTATTATTTTAATAATAGAAATCATTACATAATTAAATAGAATTCATTTGACTGTTAGGATTTATGCTTAATAGAACCTGCAGTGCAGTATTTTTTTGTTTGTTTTGTTTTGGTTTTTGTACTTTATTTATTTATTTTTTAATTTAATATTTTTTATTTTATATATTTTACATCATTTTTCATTTTTGCACAATGTATACATTTTCATCTTGGTTATATTCCCCAAATAATTCCTACCTCCCTTATTTTGACCCTATTCCCTTCTCCCCCCCACCTTGTAGTGTGTCTCTGGTTTATAGTTGCTTGTTGGGTTTGATTTTTACTTTATTATGGTTAGTCTTTTTCCTGGTCCTTTATAAGGAGAAAAAAGGGACAGCTGATTCAGAGGATTTCTAGGTGCCCTCCAGAAAGGAATGCAATTCTCATATTAATTAAAAGAACTTTTAAAAATGAAAAATATGGTGTAGAACATAAGAACACTATAGGGGGTGGTAGGAGATGTGACAGAAATAGCAGTTTGGGAACATATCCCAGTCTTTGAATGTCAATCTGGTGTATATGGTTGTATAGATTGTATTCCTTGCAATCCAAGGGATTGTCAGTCACAACTGGTTAAATGCAGAACTTGAATAGCTGTGATGATGGACTTTGTAAATTTACATAGTCTTTTAGTTGTCCTCAAGTCTATGAATGCTATGATTGTATTGTAGTTGAAACTTAAGAAAATTAATCTTGCAATATTTTATATAATGACTCACATTTCAGAAAAATGAATGTAGAACATTCAAATCCAGTTGTCTATTAAAGGCTTGAACTGCTTTTAAATCTATTCTGAAGGAAGATGGCAAAATGAAAATGAATTTAACTTCTTGAGTGACCATAATAATTGTATCCAAATAGGAACAGAATGTGAGTGTTTGTAGTGATTGAGATGTAGACAAAAATATGTTTTCCTTTGATTTCAAATCATTATAAATGATTCTGCTATTTTATTTTATTTTTTAAAAGTTTATTTATTCATACAAGTGCTGGGGTACAGGCCAGAAATGTCGGGGGGAGAGGATTCACCAGTGACAGAGTGGGGAACAGAACAGGCAAATTGACAGAAGTACACTGCAGAAGGGAGTAGCGGGAGAGTCAGGAGAGGTCTGTTGCACCATGTGGGTAGCTCCCTGGCTGGCCGGGGATCAAACTCGTGCTGCAGAGGCTGTGGATTGCTTCAAGTGCAGTGCTTAACCACTTGCGCCACCAGGGAGGCCCTATTCTGCCATTTTAAATGAACAATTCATCATTTTATTTTTCTTTGACTTTTCTTATCTTTAGGCTGAAGTCATTGATGTGAGCTATGGAAATGCAGAGGATTTAAAAAGGATTAAAAAAATGAAAAATACAAAGAATCAGATTGCATTCCTGAAATTAGGAAAATTGCCACTACTTTATAAGGTTGGTCCAATGACTGTTTTTTCTGGGGTGGGGTGAATTGAATATTTTGTTTTGTTAGAATTATAAGTCTCTGTGAGTGTGGAGAGAGTGTGTGTGGGGTGGGGGGGTGGGAAGAGAGGAAGGGAGGGAGGGAGGGGAGAGGAAGGGAAAGGGGAGAGAAAAACAGAGCCACAGAGAAGTGGAGAATGTCAGAGGAAGATGGTTTTCCCAAAATAGAGCATTTTATTTTTTTTAAGGTTTATTTTTATTTATAAAAGAGCTGGGGTACAGGCCAGAGTTGTGGGAGGGTGAGAGACAGAGCAGAACAGGCAGACTGACTGAAACACACTGCTGAGGGGAGCAGCGGGAGAGAGGTCTGCTGCGCCATGTGTGTTGCTCCCTGCCTGGCCAGGGATCTAACTTGTGCTGCAGAGGCTGTGGCCAGCTTCACAGTGCTGCGCCACCAGGGAGGCCCCAAAATAGAACATTTTAAATGAATGTCTTTAAGAAAAACAAATTGATACTTTCATTATTTAATATCAGAGGTAACTAGGAATTGGTGAATTTGTGGGGTCTTTGTAAAATTGGCACACTCTTCATAATAATACGTACTTGGAGTGTTAAGAAATGAATGCCACATTGTCCTCTTCTTATCACATAAGTGAAAATTCTAATCTATTATTAAAACTGGCTAACTACCATATATTTTATGTTAGAATATTATCTATCTGATTTACACTCTTCAGTGATTGATTTTGTTAACTGTATAACTTCACAGCTACTGATTGTGCTCAGGAATTTAATTAAAATATAATATGCTAAGGAGAAGCAGAATTTTGATTTATTTTATTTAAATAGAAGTTTATTAACACTCAACCACTAGATGCATTTACATAATTAAAGCAGCTCAATCTAAGTATCTCATAATGAGCCACCACAATCGACAGCCAGTGCTACTCATTTTTACTTCATTTTCTTTTACTGTTAAAATAGAATGGTCAGTGTAGTCACATCACTGTAATTCTCTGCTTCTGGAGATATAATGAATTTTCCCTCACACAGCCCTAAATGAGCTTTGCTAATTTCCAATTCCAAAAATGTTTCCAGAAATCTTTGCACACTCTATAAGGAGACAACAGAACAACATTTGCCTGTTTTTTTTTTTTGTAATCACCTTTCAAGTATACTTTACTTAAATTATTCTCATAGTAGATAACTGGTCATAATCTTAAGACAGCCTTGAATAAGGAATGCACAGTAATATTAATTTTGGGCAGGATAATTTGTCAATATGTATTAATTGGCTTTGAATAATCACATTTTGATCCAATAAATTCAGTTCAGATAATGTATTTTAATGGGAAAATAAGTCAAAGATGATAATAAGCATGATGACAACCAATGATGTCACAAAATACTCAAAACAGTGTATATGCCCCTGTTTAGTATTAAAAATTGTGCTACAGTTATATAGCTGAATATGTACAACAATGATTTGAAGAGGAGTATTTAATATTGTAAAAATCCTCTGAAGTCAAATTTATAATTATTATATAATAGTGACATTATTGTTACTTCCAAAAGAAATATTGTTAATACGGGCAAGGATTTTTCTAAACATATGTATATATTAATAAATTAATATTCACAGTAACCACATTGCTGAGAACGTTTATTACTTTTAATTTATAGGTGAGGTAAAGAAGGCAAAAAAAGCTTAAGCCACTCTTCAGTATTTAGACCCATGCCATCTCATCTCAAATCCTGAGTCTACATAAACGTGTATATGTGCATGTATGTGTTTAGCTAGAGTAGACTGGTAGGTATATAAATAATTATTCAAAGTGTTAACGTGGAGTTTGGCAGAGGCTCTAAGGTTAAAATGAATGGATATCTCAAAGTGAGCTCCACCCAACAGGAATATGTAAAAGGGAATAATTAGAAACATGTTAAGCTATAAAACCCCTCTCTCACATCTAAATATAAAATATTTAGAAATTGGAGGAGAGGATTTTATGAATAATAATTTGAGATAAGTATATTTTACGTTCCACTGCAAGTCTGGTAACTGGGACTTTATTGGAGCAACAAGGGATTAATATATGTCCTGTGCAGTTGTAAGGGGTTTAGTAGCTTGCTCTGACTTTAAATGAGAAACCTAAAGGTAAGAAATGGATTTGCTGAGCATTTAACAAACAAACACAAAAATGATGTCTGTATTGGGGTTGTCCTGTGTACACACAGCTGATAGAAAAAAAATGCACATATTTCCCATGGACTATAAATGGACACACATAACAGAAAGATGTTTGGTTCACTACCACATGAGAATTACCTCTTGGAATGGTGAGCTAAGGACCAGCCAGATTAGAGTATCTTTGTCCATGTCATGGAAACTACAGGGTGATCATTCTTGCATCAACAAAGTGTCTGCCGAATTCAAAGGTAGCTAAAATATCTGAATACCAGATGTCTACTTTCTAAGACATTTATAATCTTAAACAAAGATTAAATATTTTATTTTGAAAAAAATAAAAGACACTACTGAACGGGAGAAAATATCATTCATCTATTAAGGGGCTAATATCCAAGATCTATAAAAAACTCCTACAACTCAACAACAAAAAATACTAATCAAAAATTGAGTAGAAGAGCTACATAGGCACTTCTCCAAAGAACACAGACATATGGTCAACAGGTGGAAGAAAAAATTCTTCAGCTTCACTTATCAGGGGAATGCAAATAAAAGCCACAGTGTGAGAGCAACTCACATTTGTGAAAATGGCCAACATCAAAAAGACCAGAAATAAGTGGTGGTGCACACGTGGACCATATACTGTTGGTGAGAATATAGACTGGTCCAATTCCTATGGAAAACAATACTAAAGTTCTCAAAATATTAAACATAGATCAACCATGTGATCCAGCAGTTCCATTCCTAAGTATCTACTGGAAGTATACAAAGAGTAATTCAAAGGGCTATGTCCACTAATATGTTCATTGCAGAATTATTTACAATAACCAAGTTATGGAAAACAAACTAAGTGCCCAATGACAGATGAGTGAATAAAGAAGATGTGGCACATATAATGAATAGAATACTACTCTGCTATAAAATAAACAACTGCAAACACTTTTGTCATTTGTGACAGCATGGATGGAACTAGAAGGGGTTAGGTGGGTTATGGTAACAAAGTAAGTCAGAAAGAGAAAGACAAGTACCAGATGATTTCACTCCTCTATGGTATATGAAGAAACAAAATAAAGGGACAAACAAAAGTAAACCAAATAAACCCTAGAGATCTGACTGCAAAATTGAGGCTGGTGGGTATGATGGGGTAACATACAGCTAAAGAGGTGTGAACATATTCCTCTAAATCATATAACCTATTTTATTTTATTTTTTTTAATTTTATTTTTATATTTCCCATACAATTGCAACCCCCCCATTCTGACACCAATCCCTCCCCTCCCGCCCCCCACCCCCAAAAAGTATCTCTGGTTCATAGTTTTTTGTTGATTTTGATTTTCACTTTCTTATAGTTATTCATTTTCCTGGTCCCTTATTTAAGTTTTCTAGTAAATCATATAACCTATTTTAAACTAATGTTGCCTCAATAAAAATTATACAATTAAAATAGAGATATAAAATAATTTAAAAATAATATGAATTTTTAAATCAAGTGTAGGTTTTTTTTTTTTTCAAAGAGGTCCCAGTTTTGTTACATTCCTTTAGTTCTCTCTCTCTCTTTTTTTTTTTAAGATTTATTCATTTATTTATTCAAGCACTGGGTACAGTCAGAAGCACAGGAGGGTGAGAGAATTCACCAGAGCCAGAGCGGGGTACAGAACTGGCAGACTGACGAAATACACTGCTGAGGGGATCGAACTGGTGCTGCAGAGGCTGTGGGCAGCTTTGCAGCCCAGCCCCAGCCCTCGACTGCTGTGCCACCACGGGAGGCCCTCAAGTGTAGGTTTTGATCTAGACATGATATTCACTTATTTATTATTGTGAACACATGTTGATTATGGAATTTTTTATTGCCAATGAACAGAAGTATTTATCTAAGTGTTCAAGAAAGAATGTTCATTTCTAGATATATTTTAAAGGACAACAATATATTTAAAACAATAGATTTAAAACAATAGATTTAAAAACAATAGATTTAAAAGGGCAACAAGGTAATACTGTTTTGGGTCCACTCCATGAAATCCACTTGCTTGACCCATCAGAGACACATATGACTAAAGTTCTCTTGTGGTAGGGGGTCACTTATATCAATTGGATAGATGGCCCATGGATAATTTCTACTTCTTTATATTTTCCTGAATTTCTAAATATTCTATAACGACTGCATGTATGTTTAGTAAGCGGAAATAAAAACCTTTAAAAATCCGGTTCTAAGGGGTCTCCCTGGTGGTGCAAGAGTTAAAGACACAGTGCTATCAAGCTATTGCCAGCCACTGTGGCCTGAGATCCATCCCCAGCCAGGGAGCTACCCACATGGCATGGCAGACCTCTCTTATCTTGCCAGTTGCTCCCCTCAGCAGTGTATCTAAGTAGCTATGCCTGTTATGCTACCCACTTTATTTCTGGTGAATCCTCTTACCCCACTATACCTCTAGTCTATACCCCAGTTCTTGTATATAAATAAATAAATCTTAAAAAAAAATCAGGTTAAGATAACCATTTAAATATGTTTTCTAACAGAGGTTATAGGTCAAGTACCTAAGTTTCTTACCAGTAGGTAAGTAAGTCAAAGCAATTTTGTATTTGACTACTCATGAAAATATATTTTTAAACACTTTGGCCATATCTACAAAGTAGTAAATTAATGATTTATCTAGAATTGATCGCACTATTAAGAGCTTGGTTTAGTTGCCTTTATATATATCTATATCTTTATCTATAGATATAGATATAGATATAGTTCTAGGAATATATTTAAGAAAGAGTTCAAGAAGAATTCAGCAGAAAGCTTTGTCACAAATATGGCATTAACTTCTAAGTAGAAGAGACA